CAAAAAAAACCCCCTTTACATGATTTGAAAAAACCCCGGACAGGGGGGGGGGTTGGGGGGGGGGGGGACGTTTTAGTAAAAAACTATTTTAAAATGTCAAATTTTGGTGTTTTTTGTTAGTAATTTAAAAAAATGGACATGAAAAGTAGATTTTTTTTTTCCACAAACGGAGAAGAAACTTTTCTTCTCTGGTTTGTAAAGCCAGAGAAGATGAAACGACCAGAATTTAATTGTTTACTGAATAAGTAGATTTAAATGTTAAGCCAATAATTACTGGAGTTTCAAATCAAAACACAAAAAAACAAAACAAAATCTATTTATTTGAAATAGATTTATTTCAAATTAAACTAATATAAATTAGAATACTCAAGTAAAAAAAAAAGATTTTATACTATTATGTAAAATGTTTTAAAGGAATCCCTTTAATCTTATAAACTAGTGACGGTAAGAAGACGTGGAGCTTCTGCTACATGGAAACATGTAAAGAGATAATCAGAAATAAAAAAAAGATTAAACAGTTTGATTGCTTTAAAGCCAGTCTATTTTTTTTTATTTTTTTTTTCTTACATTGTCTTTTGAGATACTGTTCTCATCTCCTATTGGAAATACGTTTTTAATCTACATCTGTCAGGTATGAAGACGTTTGTTTAAAGTTTAACAGTTTTTTTATTTATTTAAAATGAATCAAATCTTAATGTTGCAATGATATTCTGGGTTTTTCAGAGATGGCTTCAGTCTGTTTTACCTTCTTCTACTTCCCCTTTCTCAGTTTGGAAGTCACAGACAAAATGTAGTAAAAGTAACGAGAGAGTAAATATGGTCGTAGATTATTTAAAACTGTTTTTGTTTTTATTATTAAAATAAGATTTAACTTTACCTTTAAACTGGAATAAAGCTGAAATAAAAAGTTGATTTCACAAGCAAAAAAAAAAAAAAAAAAAAATGTAATGACTGTTGACTACATTTTGTCTAGTTCAAGGCTCCACAGCTTTGTGCTGCAACCCAAATGTGACAAAGATAAACTGAGCTCAGAGCGGCTCAGGTCATAATAAGAAAAACTTCAGTTTTATTAGACTTTATAGTTTCATTCACCCCCCACCCCGAAACCAAAATGTCACTTCTGTGAAGGATTTGTTGCAAACAATCCCAGCAGGGTTTTTATTTATTCTTAGATAATCTAAGGAAAGCTCTCCTCCGTGTCTTTCTCCCCACAGTCGCCATGTACCTGGGGATCAGAAAGGGGAAATTAAAGACAGTAAGCCCCGCTCCCTCAGATTCACTTGGAATATGAGAACCACCAGCTCCATGGAGCCCTGCGACATCATGAGGGAGATCCGCAAGGTGCTCGACGCCAACAACTGCGACTACGAACAGCAAGAGAGTTTCCTGCTCCTCTGCGTCCATGGCGACGGGCGGGCCGAGAACCTGGTCCAGTGGGAGATGGAGGTCTGCAAGCTCCCCCGTCTCTCCCTGAACGGCGTCCGCTTCAAAAGGATATCTGGGTCATCCATCGCTTTCAAGAACATTGCTTCCAAAATTGCCAACGACTTAAAACTATGAACAAAAGGACTGAAAAGTATAAGTAAAAAAAAGAAATTAAAATCTATATTCAGAGGTATTTAAGCTGTACAATCATCCAAGTAGCAGTTTCCAAATGTCTCCTTTTTTTAAACAAAACACAGTATGTATTGAACATTATAATGTATAGATGCAGGCTTTTGGCAATAATTACTGAATTATCTACTAATGTCTGTTTTGACCACCAGGGGACGCCATTAACAAGTTGAAAATGATTTGTCATGCTGTGAATGTGGAGAAAAAAAGAAGAAAAAAAGCATTTCTGGTCTTATTTATTTCACCTTTTATTTTTACTTTTCTCTCGGTTAAAAAAAAAGAAAAAGATGTAGCTTTTTGTTTTTTCTTGTGTAAATAATGTATCTTGCTTTCAAGATGGCTTCACTGCTACACTTTTTAATTTTGTTTTTTTGTTTTTTTTTTGTTTTGTATTTTGTTAAAAGTTAGAGATAATGGGAAGTCCATGTTAATGCCCACATGGTTGAGGTTCACTCATGTCTCCATTAAAGCGTCTGTCAACCTGAACATCCCGTCTCGTCACTGGAGCACAACCAGCAGGATGGATGCTTTTAAAGTTCAGTTTGGGATTAAAACATGTCTGATTAAATGGGATTAAACTGCTCACATTCAAATAAATAAGTTTCCCCCTCCTCTTTAAAACCATACATTAAATTAGTTGATGTATCTATTGTACAATGCTGTGGAGGAAAAAAAAATTGGTCATTCTTGACTGCAAGGCCCAAAATTATTCATACACCTGGCATATTTAGGTTTAGATGCAAAGTTAGGACGACCAAGTAGTCCTAACTTGAAAACTAAAAATTAGGGTTGTTGTAAGGAGACCCTCCAATTCAGTAAAAACTTGCAGAAATCTGCAAGGATTGTGATTGACGATCCTTCTTGTCAATCACAAGAAGGATTGAGTGATGTAATGCCAGATTTTTTTTTCATTGAGTGAAACGTCAGCATGCTTTTATTTATACATATATATATATATATATATAAAATGCAAATTGTATTTTATTTTCAAAACCATGTATAGATGCCTGCCAATTCCTATGAGAAAAAGGCTTGAACAATTTTAAACCAGAATTTGCCGGTGATGTGGATTTTGGCCTAAAATGGGCACTATTATGTATTTTTCCAGGCACATAGTACAATTTTATAGCCCAATCAAGTAACTTCCTTCAGATATAAAAATGTATATTGAATGACTTAAGAAATTTGACTCATTTAACGCCTTACAATTGGGCCAGTGTCTTTTTAGAAATTCCTGCTCTTTCTGTAACTCTGCCTTCAGGAAGTCATCACAACATGGCTTCTTTAACTTTCTTCCAGCATTGAACAGAGAAGTAGCTCATGAGCTCAGCAAATGTGCGGCGCCACCAGGTGTTTGCTAATTGCTGCTGCTAGTCTGAAGGTGACAGGGGAGGAGCAGCTCTGAGGTGGAACAACAGCTGGAGAACGTAGCATGAAGGAGGAGCACCTCGATGGCGTGCTCCATTGAGGTGCACAGCTGAATGGTTGCCATGGGCGATTGAAGGATTTTTTCAAACATGCATGAAAAAAAATCAAGGCAACATGACGGGTATGTTTCTCATGAAATAATGATGTAAAACTAAAAAGTAGATTTTCTATAATAATACTGCCCTTCTACCTGTACATGTTTCAGATCAAACATTTATCAATGATAAATAGTTGATAGTTTTAAAAATAGGATTTTGTATTTATCCCTATAAGTTAAAACAAGTGTTCTAACAGACCCTGACTATATGTGAAAATATAGAGTTCAGTTTTATCCAAAGCTGTAGAATCAAGAACTCAACAGGAAGTGAGCTAAAAGATCACAAAGCAACGCATCATGCTCTGTATTATAATAATTCAGATAGAGTGGGCTGCAAATGGAGAAAACATGGCAGTGACTTCTTTCACATAGGGTCACGTATGACTGTTGGCTTTTATTTCCCTCAGTGAAATCTTTTGAAAACTCGTCTTTCATATAAAAAACACTTTGAGTTAAGGAACATTACAGATCTCAACTTGAACCAAACCATTTTTATTGCATTTCAGATCTTTAAATACACAAGTTAAAAACTGAAACTGGGAGTGCAGCCAATCAGAGTGTAGGGCTTTGAAGGAAGATAGTGGAGGTTAGAGGGGAACAGGAAGGAAGAAACGGGAGTATTCTTTGTCTTTTTTTTTTTCTTTTCTCATCAGGACGGCTTTACTTCTGGGCAGGTATCAGGTTGTCAATGGGTTGGCCTTTCTCCAGCCTCTTCTCCATCTCCACCAGCAGCTTGACCCCGTCCACCACCATCTGGACCAGCTCCACCTCAGAGAAGCCCAGCCGGTCAGCGTTGGAGATGTCAAACACTCCGCCGACGGCAGCAGTGTCCACGCCGCCTGAGAGAGGACAAGAGCAAGTCTAACACAAACCTGCACAGGATGAGAAGAACCGGCATCGGGGCGACCATCCTTACCAGTGCCCCGTTTCTGGAGCCTCAGTTTGGTCAGAATTTCTTCAAACTTGGCGTGCTTGCTCATGTTTGGCAGCTTCACATGCACTCCTGCGCGCAGACCGGTGCCCAGGTTGGAGGGGCAGGTCAGAACGTAGCCCAGGTGTTCGTTCCACATGAAGGCGTGGCCCCTGTCCCTGAACAGGGTCTCGATCTACCGACACGGTGAAGGTCAGACGTTAGGTTGGCGGACAGCTTTCAACGGGACAACGGTTCTGAAATGAAAACATCCCGACTGACCTTGGTGAGACCGGTGCAGAAGCGAGTGAACACTTCCTTCATCTTTCCTCCCTTCTGCATGGAAATCACACGCAGGTGGTCTTCCTCATTCACCCACACCAGGAAGGTCTTGTTGTCGTTGTGCCTGTTGAAGATGAGAGAGACTGTCAGAAGAGAACTTTAAAAAGATTCAAGGGAAAGCAAAAAAACTCTGGAGGATAGTTAGCAACTGGAATAAATAGAAACGCTAATAATGTTACCTTGCTAAAATAATGACCCAAGTCTTTTTTGGGGGGGCAAAAATCATCTTTTGGGATAAAAAATGACTTGGGTCTTTACTCTAGCAAGGTAATTCAATGTTTAAAATGCAACATATTTTAAACATGGAATGTAAATTGAATTCAAAAATACTTTGATACCTAAAAGCAAATGAAAAGTTCCAACTCATTTAATTCAGTCTTTGTGGATGACGACGATGGATGTGGACACAGAGGGGAAAAAAGCTATTTTTCTCCCAAAAAGGCAGAAATGAAAGTTTGAAAAAAGAAAAAAAAATCTCAATGACATTGATATTTACACGTGAAGTTTATTTAATTTCCTCAAAGTATAAAAACACATGGGACTACTAGAGTATATTGCTTGTGGGTCTAATCAGTCGGTCAGAGTTTAGTCAGGAAAAGTCACATTTCTCTAAAAATAAACCTAACCAGAGGAGATGGCGTTAAAGTTCATGCAGACATGAACTTTAACCAATAATTGTACAGAATACCTTCATCCCAATGTTACACTGAGCTGCAAATTGTTAAATGAATGGAAAAAAAAACACACACACACACACACAAGCTGGTTCCACTTGTTTTAGAATTTGGTTACATTTTGTTTTTTTGTATATTCTTTAAAGTTGTCTGGTTTTTCCTCTGTGCCTTTAAACAAATGTAGAAGATGAATTATCAAGCCACAAATATCCAGGTTGTCTTGTCTTAACCTGCCCTTTGGTTAGTTTCACTAAAGCAGTTGGTTACCATGGTGACATTTGGAGAGTCAGACAGAGTGTTAGTACTGGAGTGTGTTTACATTCTCAGTCACTTTAAACAGAAGTTAAGTTTTCCATTCATTGAGTCTGATGAATCATTTAATGTGTTCATCAAGTTGCTTTAAGGTGAGTTTCCTGTGATCACCGTTTCATTAGAATAAGTGAATTAGTACTTTCACACTGAACACAGCTAATGCAGCTAAAGTATTTTCAACAGGTTTTTGTTTTTTGTTTTTTAAAAAAGCTGAAGTTGTTTTTTGTTATAAACTTTTTGCCATGACTGTCAAACTTGTCAAGTTGAAAGCACTTGGATGGGGTACATGAAAATGTATTTTTGTTAAATGATAATGTGAAAATAAATATGTTGCACCTTACTGAAATGAACAGAATAAACTGATTTTGGTTGAAAATGGATCAAAGGGATACAAAAATGCATTATTACAACACAGGGCTACATTTTCTAAAATATTAACTTTTTTCTTTTTTTTTTTTTTTTTGCTTTTTGCTGGACGTTTTTGGTGCTAATTGATAAATCCAGAAACCTGAAATTAAAAAAGAAAAGTTTTGTGCCTAATTTTATTAATTTTATTTTAGGATGACTTCATATGTGAAAAGTTGCCTTAGATTTAAATTAAATGTCCATCATCTGCATCAACCTGCATTCTGTTGATGCAGGTTGATAACAGTATGGAACTAGAGATGCACTGACTGCAGTTTTCTGTCCAATCTTTAAAAAGCCTGACCTACCTGTCCTGAACTTTATTAAACGGTTTAAAATAAATGTCCCATTTGCTTCCACTGTCTTTTCCTCTCAGTCACCTCATTTAAACAGAATCTCAAGACAGTTTGAATAGAAAAATTGGTTTCTGAATCGACTCGACAGACCCCGGCAGATTCACATCTCTGCCTGGAACGTCGACCGATTCTGATACCTGGAATAACAGGAATCCTCACCAGATTCCTCTAGCGTCCGGCCAATCACGGGCCATTCCTGAGGCCAGCAGCAGAGGAGACACGGGCTTATCAAAGAGGAAGTGGTCGTCAATGAGCTGCTGCTGCTCTGCCTCGGTCATGTTCTTCAGAGCGTAGTATTTCCCCTTCAGGTCTCCACTCAGAGCGGCCAGAGCTGCAGGGTACAGAGGACACACGTCATACATCAGCTGAAACGCAGGGCTGGGTTTGTTCAAGGCCGTTTGTATGCAAAAAGTGGATCAATCAGTCAACGTGGCTCACTAGAAGAAAACAGGTTATGAATTCAGAAACGTGAAGGCAGGACTGGCAGAAATACTAAGTTTAGCTCAGAACAATGAGGTCATGTAAAATAAATTAGAATATCATCATCTTCCTGAAATAATGGTTTGTGCCATTTTTTGCCAAAAGTGATTTTTTTTTTTTTTTTTTTGCAAAAATCACTTTTGCCTTTATCTTAGGAAGGTGGCAATATGTGTTCTGATGAGACTCATTTTTCAAATTTTGAAAAAAAAACATCCTAAATCAGGCATTAAATAATATTACATTTCTATACAAAAAGTTTTGTTTTT